GCAGAGGTCTGGGATTGAACAATGGCGGTGCACGCCCGCGCCGTCCGCCGCCCAGAGCACGACGCAACTTGGGCGCGCGTCGATGGGGCTGCGCGTGGGCCGGGGGGGGGGGGATCTGGTTTGCTCGGCCTCGAGCCCCCCCCCCCCCATAAGTTTACGCAAGTACTGGGCCTTCTGGGCCTTCTTATGCGCGGGCCCCTTACGAGCGCGGACCTCGACGGTGTTGCGCCTGTGGCCGGCGGTAGTCACGGCGCGAAGGTCCTTGGCCGCGCAGAAGGGGCGGATGGCGGCAGCGGCCGCGAATCTGGCAGCAAGGGCGTCGCGGGGCGATGCGCGAGACCCGGCAAATCCAGACTCCGCCGAAATCTTGCACTCGAAGGCTTCAAGACCATGACATCATTCACTGCCAACAGGCCAAAGGAATTGCAAATGTCGTCGGCGTTCGCTCCATGCTGGTCCGGGAGACAACGTTAACGTACGAACGGATGCAAAAGCGCGTATAGCTATCTTGGCATTCGACCTCGAAATGTACAGGTGCATCTTGGCCCGAGACATGGGGTGGGCGCAGCCCGCAAGGATGCCCGATCTCGCATGGATAATATCAGAGGTGCACCAGAAACCTCCGCGGCGCGGGGGGCAGCGTGAAACGATAGATCGAGGTGGAAACTATGCGAATGGTAACGAAACTTCAGTCGGAACGAAAACTGAGCGGGCAAGGTTGGCGGGATCGCAGGATTTGGCGGGAACCCAGTGGAGGGCAGCAGAATCCGCCCCAAATCACGCGGCGACCTCATGGCCGACTTCGCGCAAGAGGGCCGCCTGGAGGGCACTGCCGCCGCGGGCAGCGTCATGCCGAAAGTCGATGTGCAGAGCGTTTCAGCGGTCGAGATCATGTCCCTCATGCGGCGGTGCAATCGATGAGATGTCAAACGCTTGCGTATGGGCCTCTCAGATGCATGGGTCTTGGGGAGGAGGGCCGTTGCCTTCGGCTGGGTTTGGGGAGGTCGCGTCGGGGCCTGTTCGCATCGCTTGTAAATATCCGCCGCAACTTCCTTTCAAGGAAACTCCCAAAGCGCGAGGGGCCCAGTCATTAACGCCAGCTGCCGTGCTCTTAGAAAAAGGGAAGCGCCGCTGGCAATGTCAGTGGCGGCCGAGGGCCCCAACGCCTGGGCGGCTTCCAAAGCAAGGGGCCTGAGAGCAGCGAAAGTGTCATTAAGGGCAACGCGCTTGGCTGGCAGTGGCAGCCCAAGGTCGCCCCATGAAGCTAGGTCGGTACTTCCTGAGGTCCCCGCGGAGCTGTTGAATACCTTCAGGGGTGACCGCGTGCTCGATTTCCTCAACTATATCATGCTCCAACCAAACATGGGCCTGGCGAGCGCCGCAAGGGCGGAGTTTCGATCGGCCGCGCCTGCTGCCCCGCCTCAGCTGCGGCGCGAGCGACCTTCCAGGCCATATCAACATTGAAAGAACAGGCGTCGGAACGACGTGTGGGGGGTGGCCCTGCGCGATGGGGCAGGGGCGCTAGCTGAGCGCGCCGCCGCTCAGCACCGCGTGGAGCTTCGCTCGGCGTCGCGCGGTCCAAGCTGGGCAGCTTTTCCTGGGGGTGACTGCGCAGAGCGCCATGGCGAGCATGCCCTCCGCGGCGAAGTGCGAGCTGGCGCTCCGCGGGTCTCCGAGACAGATGGCGCCTAAAACGCGGCGCAGGGTCTCGGAAAGCCTGGCCCCGATTTATCCCCCCAGAAACCGGGGTTCGTCTGACTTGCGCGCGCCCGCCGCGCTCGGCGCCTGCGCCTGGAACTCCTTCATAGAAAGCGATGGCGCGAGACTTGGCCATCCACTCAGTCGCGGCAGACCATGCCCAATGCGTGCTGTCGGTCAACGGCGATCTGTGTTCACGGACGTGGCGGTGGTGGTTGTGGTGGCGGTGGTGGCGGCGGCGGTGGGTGGTGGTGGTGGTGGTGGTGGTGGTGGTGGGCGGCGTGTGGTGGTGGTGGGTGGGTGGGTGGGGGGGTGGGGGGGGTGGTGGGGGGGGGGGGGGGGGGGGGGGGGGGGCGGGGGGGCGGCAGGGTCTTTGGGGGGGGGCGTGGGGGCGTCGGGGGGCCCAGGGTCCGACGCGCGCGCGAGGCGCCGCTTGCGCGGATGATCAAGTCCGACACGTTTGGGGATGGGGGGCGGCTTGCATCTTTTCCGCGCTGTCTAATGAAACAGTGCAGGTGTGAATGTCGACCTGCAGGCAGGCAGGGGACTTGCGCGGTGAGTGTGCGCGTCCGCCGACATAAATATATGGTCAAACGTCTTCGCTGACAATCGCGCCATCGATTAGTTGCCCCTTGCCTTGAGCTCGCGGGGCTTCCAGATCAGACGGCGCGAGCAGGCGGAGGCGCGTCGGCTGCCAGCAGCCAGACACATGCCTCGCTTTAGCCCCGATAGTTCCATCGTCCGCTCGCCGCCATGGCATGGCGAGCGCGTGAATAAACGTTGATTTCTCTTTCATCATCTCAAGGCTCTCGCCCGCGACCCCCCCAGCCAAGAGCCGCATGGGCCACCCCGGCGGCCGCGCGAGAGGCCCGGGTCTCCACTTCTAGGAAGAACCAGCCTCCGCCAGCACCCAGGTCCCGAACCTCGCGCTTCAAGGGGGCGAAATGTCTGAAACATGCGTCGCGGCTTACTGGATCCGCCGCCCCGCGGTGAGCGCCCCCTCTGCGGGGCCGATGCGCGAATTGAGTGTGCGGTCTCCACTTCATTTGAGACCCTTCTTCCTTGTTGAAACACTGTGAACTTGCCGCCGACGGTATCATGCTCAACGATGATAAACCCGCCAGCTTGGGCCCGTGCGCGGGCCGCGTGGGCCGCGATAATTTTTGGCAACAACACTCCTGGATGTGTTTTGGGCAAACATAACGTCAAGTTCAAAAATATCAGCTCGAACCCGGGTGGCAGGGGCATGGGCAACAGCGGCGACGCACTTTGGATCCCCCGAAAAATGGCGCCGCGATGCTCGGCAATGGTTGCTGGCGCTGTCGCCGTCCACCCGCCGTCTACCTCGCTGGGTGTTTCACAGGTGGCAAGACATGGCTGCTCAGTGCAGGATGGGTTGCCCACGCGGCGGCGCCTGCCACCACGCATGGGCAAGAAGTCATGCAAACATGCCCTTGACCTTGGTGTTGGCCACCTCGATGCGCTCGCCACTCTTTCTCCTTCGCGCGGTGGGACATGAACTTCACCGTGCATTTCGATTCATCAATAGACAAGGCCTGCTCCGGAGAACGTTTCCGTGGATCATCAGGCTCTCTGGCAAGCTCCTCGGGTTCACCAGCGACTGAGCCAACGTCGGACATATCGTCAAAAGACTGCGCCTGAAGAACAGCCTTGTGCATCTCACGCAAGGCGCACCAACATTCGACTCCTCACCATTGGTCTGGTCCAGGTTGGCAGGAGGTGGCGCTGCGTCACATGCGCCAAGTCCCTGATTGCCTGGGTTACCGTCCTGTCCATCATGTGCTGCGCCAACTCCACCGTTTGCTGAAGTTCGTGGAGCCGCTGGGGCAACAAGAGTTCCGCCCGCGTCTGCTCTAACAGGGGGCTGGACAACACTCTTGGCTTTGGATTTGGACTCGTGGACCTCGGCAATCACCTGGGCCTGCGGTTTCTTTCGTTCTGCTGGGTTGAACAACCGACGGGCAACATCAGCCTTGAAACGGTTTCATTTCGCGATGCCCACCTCGGCGGTAGCACCAGCTAACGCGGTGTCTGCTTCACGGTGCGAGGTTTGTTGTACTTCTCCTCCTTGAAACCGATCTCCTGACTATCGTTGCGTTCTCAGAATCAACGACATCCGTTTATTTAGCTCACCGGGTGCGCTCTTCACGCGTTCCTGAGTCAAACTGCTGCTGGCTCCAGTTTGCTGGTAATTCAAGTGGATGCCGAGAAGCAGGGCAGCTGCTTGGCAAACTTCATAATCTGACGAGGTAGGGGAATCATCTTCGTACTCCGAATTTGTTTCGTCAATTGGAGGATCATGCCCAAGGCCGGTACCACCACAGTCAGAGCAGCATTCATGTCCACGATGTGAGTACGTCTTCCCAGTGACTACATTCGCTGCACACGTGGAAATTTGACTTGGAGCGACCACCATGCCGCTGGTGGCGGTTCCATCGACAACCACCTCTGACACCATGACCTCGGTACATCCAGGTCTTCACCAAAGAGTGTACGAGAAACGATGCACACCGCGACTCTTATCATCGTCATTATCAGCATCACCATCACCATCGTCACCATCATAATAATGATAAACATCCTCATCATCAACATCATCACCACCATCTTCATCTTGAGCGGAACGCCAAACCGTGCCGCGGACCATGATACTCTGGGAAGCGGAAGTGTACCAGGTGGAGGCAACATGGGGCCTGAGATAGCACCTCGAGCGTGCCCCCTGGCTGCGCACGAGCACGAGCTGCCGGGGCCCGCTGTTCGCACTCGAACCACATGGCTACGGAACGGATCGCGTGTCGCTCCGCTTCGCGGGGCGGGAGACTGGGGGAAGCTCGGCGTGTGGGCGCCTGGGGACCGAGGGGTGGACAGCGTGTCGCGCCGAGGCGTGGTGGGCCCCTGGAGGCCTCTGGGAGCTCACAGATGGCCCAAAACGCCCACCTCGGGAACAACAATGCAACATCCGTACGACAAAGCACGACTTGAAGCTCCGCACCCCATCTCCCTGCGTAGAGGCCTCGACTAAATGAGGTCGGAGGATCGCGCCGCATCGCCGATGCATCGTCGATGCATCGCCGATACATCGGCGACGCACCAGCCACGTCGGCGATTCAATGGCGCCGTCGTCGTGAACAAGAATCGGGCCTTCAACCCCATCTACTCCGACCCCATCAGGGAGACTTAGACTGCCGCACCTTTCGAGTTGGGTCGGTCGGGGGACAACGCCAGGCGTGTAACAAATGCGACGTCCAGGTCTCAGCGAGTCTCTCTGGCGCGGGGCGCGCCGAGTTCGGGTTGTTGTGCTTGTACGCGCAGTCGTCCCCGAAATTGCACCCCTTGGCGGACCCGAAGTACTTACACGGCAGCGATGACCTCGGCCAGAGGCCGGGGGATGCGGGGGGGCTCTGGGAAGACGGCGGGAAGGTACGGGCGCTTGTGTTCTTATAGTTTACTGTTGGTGAATACTCATATATGAAAGATAATGATTGTCGCTTTCGTCCCTTCCACTGACGTTTTTTCCATTGAAGCGCCCCGTCGGGGCTCGCATCGAACGTCTTGAGGCTCAAACTCGGCCCCTGGAACCTGGCAAACAACAAGAAGAGTAACACAAGTAACAACAACAATCGCAACGGCGACGACAACAACAGCAACATTCATTTGTTTCGCTCCTATATACGTATATCCAAAATCCTCGGTGCCCGCCCTTTCGTTTTCGATCGTACCCCCTTGCGGGCATATCTTCCTTACCTTGCAACGTGCGGTTAATATAGCCCCCAAAGCACGGTAAAAGACGACGAATGGAAAGGGACAGGGGGAAGGATGACACTCGAAAACAATTAGGTGGCTAGGAGCAGAACGTGCGTGGTATATCCAGACGAGCAGATCGGGCGGACAGACCCATAGTGGACTGGCTGGTTGAGAAGGCGGGCCCAGGCGACAAGGTCGAGCAAACGTGTTGCTGAAACGTGATTCCTGCATGAATCTCGCGTGGAAATCTCGAACGATAGCGCGATTCCCAAATCAATCGCGAGAGAGTCCAAAGCGGGGGCGTGACTCCTAACTGTCGAGGGCGCGGCGTCTGAATACATTGCGAGGAAGTCCCACGCGAAAGCGCGATTCCTGAATACATTCTAAGGAAGTCCCGCGTTCTGGAATACACTGTGAGGAAGCATCTGGCGGAAACCGTTATTGTTGTTTTTGTAGCTCGTGGCCGAACGACGCAGTCTGGTGACACCCACTTCTCCCCAATAGAAAAAACCAGGGTGCGAGCCCTGGGAGGAGCACTTCGACTGAAACATACACCATGGTTACCAGAAGGGGGGTAATGCAGAATAATTGCACCCCTCGCTCAGACATGCATATCTTAGCGAGGCTGTAGATTTTTGACCAGATATCCTTGTGCATACGAGACATTGAACATCATGATGAGAAGAGTCCTCATCTCGCCTCGCGAGCCCATCGCAGAATGCATATAATTGCGAGCGGGTGCCTGCAAGAGCTCGAGCGATGTATGAGGGCGGGCGGACTTGAGCCGCCGCGTTGCGGGGGCTTGCGAGTCGAGCGGGCGGGCGAGGATGTGGCGAGGGGTATTCGCGTCTCTGACTAAGCACATCCCTAGACGGCCTTTAAACCTCGCCCAGACATGCATATCTCAGCGAGGCTGTAAATAAATGAATGTACCTTATTTTCGCTCCGAATTGCACCGCGACAGAGTTGTCCAATAGTAGCCCAGGGCTGCAGCATGCGAGAAATTGGACATCATGATGAGGGGAGTCTTCATCTCGCCTCACGAGCCCACGCTCGCATCGCGTACATGTGGACCATCGCAACTTGTGATGGCGGGCCAGCGCCTCCCGAGGCAACTCGCAGCTCCTGCGCGCCGCCGTCTTCTGCTTAGCGATCGGCACCTTGCGATGCTGCTGGAGGAGAAGGGTGCCCTTCTCGTAGCGGGCCGCCGACCCGGGCGATGCCCGTCGGTCGCGCTTCTGGACTTCTTCTGAAGTCCTCCTGCTGTGAGCCTTGTCGTTCGAGGCCCCGGGGTGCCTGGGGGCGCGGGGGCGCGCTTTCAAGGGCGCTTGGCCCAGGCGATGGGCGCTGCGCCTGACCTCCCGCTCGAACTCCGCCAGGGTGAAGGTGGTGGGCCCCTGGGAGTCGGCCGCCTTGGGCTGGTGGGGGAGCTTCGGCGCGCTCGTCGGCCAGGGGCGCGACGCGTCGCCGATCGGCATGCTGCCGTCCTGGCCGCCCATCTTCGTCACCCCGTGCCATTCGGAGGGCGCGATGGCAACGCCAAAGTGAGCGGCCGGCGCGGGCGGCAGGATCTGGTCCTGTCGCAGTTCCACCACCTCGGGGCGCCGGAGGTGCGCGTCCGTCTGGATTGCCGCCGCCGCGCCCATCATGGGCAGGTTGTGCTCCGTGGGGTCCAGCGCGATGTCGTCCATGATGGTGTCGGGCAGGGGCAGCCGCGCGCGGCCCGGAGTTCACTTCGCCCCATCTTTCAGGGGGCAAGCGCCGTGGAGAGATCCACCTTCCCGGTCGTCTTGAGCCGCGGGGGCCCGTGGCCGCGGCAGGCGTTCCTGCCTTCCCAGACGCCGAAGCAGTCGTCGAAGAGATCTGTGAGGTACTGGGCCAGGCCGTCGCCCAGGCGGCTCTGCGGCTGCTGGTCGAACTCCTTGGCCTTCGCATGGGCCTCGAACTCGTGCGCCGCCGCCGCGTGCCGCTCGCGGGTGGCGTTCGCGACCGACGACGTGACCAGCGTGTCCCGCCTCTGGGCTCGGATGGCCCCCGCTCGGCGCGGCGCCCGTGGTCTGGCGGGGTCGCCCGCTGCCGGGCGGCGGCCGTTGGCCGGCGCGGGTGGGCACGCTGGCGCCGGGGGCGCTCGTCCTGGCCGAACTGGATGGCGGGGTTCTCGCGGAGGAAGTCGTCGGCGGCCTGGCGGCCGTCGCTGAAGAGCCCGACGCCCTTGCCGCGTTGCGCGCGTCCTCCAGGCGCTGGCTGACGGCCCGCTGCCCAGAAGAGGCCATGCCGAAACTCCCGCGGGTCGAAGGCCCGCGCGCCGGCGGGCGCTCCCCGGGGGGGCGCGGCTAACGGGAGTTCTGCCCAGCATGGGTCCACTGATGACGGGTAGGCGGCAGCTTGGGGTGTGGTGCCCGCGCAGCATGGCCGAGTGCTTGTGCGGTGCGCGGGGCCGATCCCCCAGGGCCCTCAGAGCCTCCGCGTTGGTCAATACCCGAGTTGGTTGTCGATGGGCCGTGCCGAACATACTCATATCGAAGTTAACCCCGATGACGTTAGCTAGCCCGCGGAGCCGAGAGATGGGGTCGAAGTTCCACGGCCTCGAGGTTCTGGGGTTCCCGACACTCCAGTGGCGCCAACGACGTGAAAATGCATGACAGGACTCCAACCCCAGACGTTCTGTAGCTCGTGCCCGCGCGTGATTCTTGACCACCCGTCGTGCGACGCTCCAGACCGAACGAGGCGCCCCGAGATGTGCGTATAGCAGACGGCCACTGCGGGCAAGCCCAATAATGCAATCCTGTGTGCTCCTCCGAAATAAATCGAACTCCCAGCCATCCCTGATGTCCGCGGAATCAGCGAAGGGAAGCCCGACCTCTCTGTAAGCTCGAAGCAATCGCCCGAATCCGCCGAAGAGCTCCAAACAAAAAGCTGACTTACCAGGCTCGTCCTGATTTGTTGGGCGGGAATAGCTGATGACGCAGATGCTGACGAGGTGACTGACGTGGAGGGGGGAGGTTGTGTCCTGCGCCCCATCGGAGGCCGGCCGCTCTGCCGCCGCGCTCGTCGCGCCGCCCGGAGCCTGGGCGCGCGGCGAGGCAATGCCTAGCCCGCCTGGCGAGCGCGCGAGCCTAGCGCCCCGCTTGGCGCCCTGCCGGCGTGAGTCCTCGTCGCTTGGGTTCCGATCCGTCTCGACGTAACGCAGGCGCCGGGTTATCTGGCCTCCGAGGCGGCAGGCCGCCGCGCGCCGGCACAGCGACTGCAGGCCCGCGCTGGGGCGGCCCTTTTCGAAAGCCCCCGCGGTGACCTGGCTGTCGCTGAGAGTGTGGGCTGCTTAGAGCCCAGCAGCCCCGCTGTGCGGCTGTGCTGGCGCGGGCCCATCAGGGCCGCGCGCGCCTCCTTCGATTCGACGTGCCCCTCCTGCCAACGCCGGCGATCAGCCGCGACCAGCCGGCGGCGCCGTCGCCCCGTCGGCCAGGCGGGGGGCCCCCGAGTCCAAGGAGACCTTGGCCCGCGGGCGCCAGCCGAGCGCAGCAGCTGGGGGGGGGGGGGGCAGGCGCGAGCCTCGGCCTGGCTCCGGAGGACCTGGCCGGAAGCGGTCTGCGGCCCAGACGAGGAGCCGGGCGCGTCGCCCCGTGCGTAGCCCAGGCCGTCGGTCATCTGGCACTCCAGCATGGGGGCGCCCCAGTGCCGCCAGCGCCCCCTCTGCCTCCAGGCCTCGCGCAGTTCGTCGGGCTCGGCCTTCGTCGCGGGGAGGGCGTAGCCGCGGGTGGAGGAGTCGCTGCAGTGGGGCTGGTTGGAGTGGGTAGCCTCCAAGTCAGCTTCCATCAGGAGCGGGAGGTTCATGGCACAGCGGATCTCGGACCTATCCGGGAGCCGCGCCCTTTTCGGCGCTTCCAAAGCCTCCTCGATGAAGCGGTGGCAGGCGTTTAGAGCGGACGTGGCCTCGGGGCACAACTGGCTCAGGTTCGCCACGTGGCCGAGCCAGCGCTGCAAAGCGCGGGCGCGAAGCGCGCGCCGTCGCGGCAGAGCATGGCCAGCCAAGTAAGTCCGCTAGGCCAGGCGGGGTACGCGTCGTAGCCGCCGCTCTCGCCGGCGGCGCGCCAGGCCGAGCGACTGCGTCTCAAAATCGCCGCGAGGCCCCGCGTCAAAAAGTATATGATCCTCGCGACAACTCCTCTCGATCTCGTGCATCTGCTTCCCGGCGTCGCCAGCCCAGCCTCCGGCGACCTGCGCGCGGCTTCAAAACTGGTGCAGGCTGCATCTCTCGCATTATCTGAACGGCGCCACCTGCTCGACTCGTTGAGTGACGGCCTGATTCGCGAAGTGCAGCGCCCGGGGCCATCCCGCGCAAACGGCAGCCATGCGCGGGTAGAGCCCCTCGCCATCCACGACCTCCGTCTCGGCCCCCTCGGCGTCGCCCCAGATCACGGTCGGCCGGCGCCCCGTGTTTTCAAGCTCCTCGGTGTCGAAGCGGCCCCCGACGTCGTCTTCCAGGCCGGACGGACAGGCCGCAAGCCCCGACCCGACGCCGCCGAAGCCGGAGGCCTTCAGGCGAAAGTCGGAGGTCCAAGTCGGCCATGCCCGAGCCGGGTGGTAGGGGGCGGGCGACGTGCCCTGTGGCCGCCCGGGCGTCGATG